GGGGGAAGTGGAAGCCAAGAATCCACCACTGCTGGGTAACGTTTTTTTGCAGTTGCGTTTCGAGTGCACCCAGCTGATTCTGGAGCAAGCAGTAGTACAGTAGGGAATGGAAGAATGAACCCCCACAAACATTCATCTTGCTGGAAACTTACCCGTGCCTATAATTATTGAGAACAACCGTCAACCCAAACTCGGTTGCCCACCCTTGCTAGGGAAATTGTTTGCCGATGCACCAGCCACTTACTGGCTCAAATTCCAAACCCAGAAGCTCGATGGGACTGGTATATAACGTTCACCGATCAGTTGGGATAGTTGAACAGGGGATCAATGTACACAGTGATCCCCAAATAGATAGTGGCACCGTTCCCAATACAGCTTCTACGTGGATCCCTATGATCTTCCATCTATGACGGGGACACCGGACCGGTGCCTACACTTGGTGTTTGGATACCAACCGTTGCAGACCCGGCTGCACGAGCCGAGAGACGCGACTTCAACTACCTTTCTTGCTGCTAAGCAAGCAGTATACGTGTTGAACGGACAGAGCTATACGCACATGTCCGGCTGCAAGCCAGTGTCAGTCCTCCATCAGGTCAACAACACGCAAATCAACACGGAAGTGAGGTCCGGACAATTGGCATCTTGAGAGTGACAATATAGCCAAATGGTTCCCAAGGCCACCCCGAACCCCTCCAGGTATCACCGGTTTTTCAAGTAAACAGTGGAAAAGAACCTAATGTTGGAATACAGCCGTCCTAAATGTCTTCAAAGATTTAGTCGAAAAGTTGAATTTGCAACGTGTTATGTCAATCCTATGCAGTCAAAGACTGTTTTTCTTGGTCAAGCAAACGCATGAAGAGGTTTTACAGTCCAAATGCGCTTTCTACATTAGCAGCGATGACAAGGAATTCCAGTGATGACACGTTGTTCCAATCCTTCTGACTTCTGCTGGTGCAGCTCGCATGCATAAAGAATTTGCTCATATCCTGGACATCTTACTGCCGAAATGGCTTTGCCATATCGACGAGAAAAGGAAAGCAATTGGCACGTCCACCGCCAAACCATCACTCCCCCTCACCCCCCCGGAGCTTGTCCAAGGTGGTCCACTTCGCATAAAAAGGTCTGGAGTCGATGAAGTCTCCCTCCAGCATGTTGGGCGTGTTCCGGCCAAGGAGTTGGAAGTTCTATTTCTAATTCTTGTTTCTAATAGCTTCTTGTTCCTAGTAGTAAGGCCAGGAGCCCCTAGTAGCGTCCTCTACCCCCCCGGGCCAAGGAGTTGGAAGCCCGAATCAGGACCGTGGCGGTTGGTTGAAAAGGAGCACAAACATGGCGGTTGCTTTTGTGCCTTGAGACAACCCAAACTTACTTGTTGGACGAGTGTGGCAGATTGTGGCAGTGTGGTTCATGGGGTGTCTCACATATGCCTCTTGTTGGAAGGTGCCCCACGTCAGTGTTTGATGTGCAAATGCATTCGGACATCGGCTGCACAACACCAGTGTGTACAAACCCATCTATGTGGACAGGTTGAGTCAAACGAGTCAAATGACAAGATACGCAAAACATGCGACTGTTTCCCTAAATGCACGTTCGGATGAAAACTTGTGAGCCCCTTCTCAAGAAGTGAGCATGATGTTTGGCATTTCGCCACTGTACCTTCTGTGGGATGAACGGCGGCCAATTGAAACATCTTCGGCGATCGTTCAACGATCCAACGGTACTATAGGTCTATGGCAAAAGTGTCGGACACTTGCCCAGCCTGTGCCCAACAACCCTTTGTATCTGATCCGGGCACCAAGTAAGCACAGGCATGGTTCCATCTTCTGGAGTACTATATGTTTATGTTTAGCTGTGCCTTCATCATGTTCGGTGCCAGGCAAGGCAAAAGAATGGTCCGATTTATGATTTACGTGTCTAAACTTGGAGGGTTTCTCCCTGGTCATCACTTTGGTGACCTGTTCCTTTGCTTTTCTGTTCCTTTTGCTTCCGCCAGGAACGCAACAGGCTTTTCAGTCCACGACGTGTGTCCTGGACTTCCTGGCGGAGCGACCGCTTGGACCCAAAACAAGCGACTGTGTTAGAAGAAGCCCTGGAAGCATGACACCCTGGCAGAGGAGAGGGAAAACGGGCACCCATTTTAGAAGAACTTGTTGAATGCAACACTTAAGCAAACATATATGCAAACCCCTTAGTTGTCCGGCATCAGGTTGTTGCAATGGTCAGGGTAGCTGATGTGCCCCGTAGTTATAGTCATAAACTTTGACAGTCACTGGCGCTTGCAAAAGGACAAGCACTATAGATCTTATAGCCGTTGCAGAAAGAGAAAGGGTTGTGTATGGACCTAATGAGAGGACAACAGGAAACCAGGCGCCCGTTCTTGGCTGCAACTGCCCCGGAAGGTGATTAGGATATCTTAGATGTACCATATATATTGGACAATTCCATTATAGGTCTATCCCATGACCAGTGGATGATGGGGCCTGGTTGCAGGCCAAACACTGTGACCAATTCTTTAGCTGTTTGGATCAGTCCGTGGATCACGGGGATCTCAGAATCGTCTCATTCGTCTCATGGAGCTTGCTCCCCCAGGTGCCTCCTGAGGTTCAGTGTTTGGGGTGGATGCCAGGGGGGGTCCAACTACGTTCTGAGGTGGTTGGAGCTTTAGGGATTATAGTGTCTCCATTTAGTGTCCCCAAATTCCGCTGCACTGAGGGCGCAGGCTCTGGATTGATCAGAACACATGCCCTCCATAGAGCAACTTTGGCACAAATATGGAAAGTTGATTCAATAAACGCCCCCCCCTATACTATACTACCCTACCTAGCTGATCCAACATCTTCAGCAGTCAACTTGATTGACCTACGTCCTGGCACCAGTTCAGGCATGCTGAAGCCAATTATGGATGTTCTCAGTTGATCGAAGGGCCAACCCGCTCACCAACGATGCTTCGTTACTGATCCTGATCATGTCCAGTCCTGGAAGCCCCTCAGAATCACCGGCCACGGGTACCAATACCAGGATGGTTTCATGGTTTCTGCCTGAAAATGACGCGACCTCATGGGACTTTCTTTCCTTTCACCTTGCTCTCGAACCGTCAACCACGGTCGCGTTTTCGCCAGCTTGGCTCGACCAGGCAAGCTGTTTCGGCTCCGCCCCGAACCTTCAGCAGCTTGGCATTCTCGTGCTACAACACCACCTGCGGTTCAGCAGCGAAAACGAGGTCCGGACACCGAGCCATCTCAGGTCCCGACGGTTCCGACACCGAGCGGATGGTGCGTCGGCTGTCTCCGGGAAGTGAACCACCAACGAGCTTGGTCAAACGGGTCCGCATGTCTGAACACTCTAGACAAGGCGAGGTGAAACGTGGCATCCCACAAAAACTCTCAAAGGATGGAGATGTCTGCCAGGATCTGGCAATTACGGAGAAGCCATATTGATCATCAGCAACGAACCTGCAATACAACAATATGTAACATCATACGTACAATTTGGTGTATCTTGGTGTCATAGTTGCATCTTCCTTAGATATGTTTTGTTTTGGAGGGTTGGTTTGGGGAAACATTGCTTTTGCAAGGCGCAGTAGGTCTGGACCTATCCCGTGTTCTATGTCTAGTCACTATAGTTAGCCACTACCAGTAGAGTCATAGTGCTGGCCACAAATGCAACCTTTGACCGGTTTTCAGTGTTTTCGGGATGGGCACGTCCTCAAGCATAGCAGTAGCTGTGCTTGATTCCCACTCACCTTGATGCCGCGTGAACATATGGGTGGTGCTTTGAGGCGAGGATGATTCTACTGTAGACATATCCAATCAGCCTTAAGTCGGTTGAGCAAGGTGCCCAAAACACGCATCGTTCACCCCTGAACCCACCTCTCATCACATGCGTGCTGCCGTGATGAGAGGAGCTCCGGATGGCCGGCCCAAATCTCATCATTCACCCTTGACCCGTAAACGGGCAGGTGACTGACTGATGATTTCGCGGTTCTGGGTTTGGGTCAATCAGGACTCTCATAGTTTACCGTAATACCTTTATGGCGGTTTGCTCATGATTGACCCATCCTTGTTCTAGAAATTCTAGTTCAAGATCCTTGACATCACATGGAAAGGGTTTCGTGGACGCCCCAAGGGCCACCAATCGTCACATTCTCTAGACATCACGAAAAATCTGAAAACATGTACCAGGGCCCCCCTGAGGGACTCCTATTGATAGCCTCTTCAACTCCCGTGTGGTATTGGAAGGGACGTCAACTTGGCCCTTTTCCAAGGGCGACCTCTGCATCCTCTGCTTCTCCCCACCCCAAAACGGAGGGCCATGGCGCCATATCGATGGCTCTGGCTTGTCCCTTCAAGCGCAGCAGGCCATCACAGAATTCCGTGGCGTTGATAGCACCATCACCTCAGAGGGGTCTGCTTTGACCGACTCACTCGCGTTCACCACCAAAGGCCCTGAAGTCGAAGATGGTGCCTTTTCAACCAAGGAGATCAGCGACGGTTCTGAACCATGGGAATTCGGTATGGACATGACTTTGTCCTGCTTTTTTGATCTATAATGATCTATATATCTTGGTGTACCCCTAGTGTTCCTCTTTTCTCTTTTTGGTGCAGGATCTTGCGCATGCATTTTCGACCCTCGCTTGACCTTTTCCCGGTGACGTGGACGGTTATGAGGGATGGGTTAACATGAATGGTCCCCCCAAAAGGACCTGGGCATTGGATGGCATTGGGGTGAAAACATTCGTCATATGTGACGCTATGATGGTTATTCTGATCATGCCTCACCATGTTTCTCTTGGATCCCTTGTGCTTGATTTCGTGTGTCGGACCACCAGGAGGATAACAAAAAAAGAAAACAAAGCAACAACGCGCCACCGCTGCGATCGAGGCTCCATCGTCGAGGATGTCAAAGAGCGGGCCCACATCCCGGATACTCACATCCAAGGATTGCAAGAAACGCTTCACACTCGGGAGGCTCCTTGGAAAGTGGAGTCATAGGCCGAAGGAGACTCAATCAATGATGTTCCTACCAAAAAACTTGCTTCTAGATAATTTGGTCAGTCTTCAGGGCCTCCAGTGTAATTAGCCGATTATAGCAACCATGTTGCATCAGGTAGTGCATTGATACCCAGAACGGCCGATGACGGAGAATGAACGACAGACATGTCTCCCACTTCTGCCATCTGATGTCATCTAAATAATATAATGAATCACATATCAACATATCAATCATACAAGGGCAAATGAGGTTGTTGAGCTGAGGGTCTGCTGTTGTCTGTGGTATGTAAATTGAAATTTGGACCGCCTGAGATGGTTGAACTATGTTGAACTGTTTGGTATGGCTTGCACGTTCAGTCCTGCAACAAAAACAAGGTGCATGGTGGGTACTAGGGCCATTTTACGCGATTTTGCTCATCTGCCTAGTGGGAGAGGGGGGTCTATACATCGAAATATTACAGCTAGTATATAATCATATATATACCTTGAGTCTCCAAAGACCTTTTTTTTCTGCGTTTTTGTTTTTGGTCTAATATTTTTGCGTTTTTGCTCGAAAAACACGTTTTTAGAGATGAGGACTCAAAAAAAGGTGCAGAGTGAATCTTCATCCGGACGCGTCCGGCACGGACGCTTAAAGACGCCTTTTGGACGCAAAAAGACGCGTTTTGGACGCCGAAAAAAGGTCTCAGGACACTGTCTAAGGAGGATCTGACAGGGCACAAACAAAAAAGGAACATTTCGTGACATATGCAAAAAAGAGTGCTTTCTTTCAAAAACCTCTTTTTCTTGGAAAGGCAAATTTAAAAGGGTCATTGGAGACTCAAGGTATATATATAAATCTCTCAAGAGCATGAGTGAGTGGGGCGATCATCATATGTTTTTTTTGGTCCTAGTCATGGTTCTCTCACAGTGCTGCCCATGGCGAATGCCGTTCATCCTTCAGGATTCTAGGATGTGGACCAACATTACAATCCCAGGAAAGGGCCGCACGTGCGACCCACCAACTCCCTTCTTTCCACCCGACCGCACCACCCCCAAGTGGGCCCCAGTCGTCCGCACTGAGACAAACAGTGCGGCACGGGCCGACTGTTCGGAAAAAGCCTCGAACCGACGAGCGATGGCCTCTAACCGGGCGCCACTGACCAACGACCAGTGCTCTGAGTTCGGCACATGGTGGCAACGAACTCCTCCAGGGTCAAGTTCCCATCTCCGTCTGTATCCTTTGCGCGAAGATGCGCGAAGAATTCTACGGCGAAGAATCATGATCGAAACATTTGACCTGCGGCACTTTTGAGGGATCCACTGCCACCTTCGAAAGGAAGGTACGCGTATGGACCCTCTATGCATCTCACCTTGCCTATACAGTGTCGAACACATGACCTTCTCAAAGGGTATGTGGATCCATACTATACGCCATTCAACACACTTTTTGAGAACATCCATCCCACAGGCCTTTTTTGGTGAGAAATCTGAGTCAGAAACCAACCACGTTGAACAAACCCAACCTGCCCAGGGGACCAACGGAAAGGCCCTACGCATCCCCTTTAAAACACCGCAAGATCCGGCTTTCCATTGCGGTCTTCGTCTACGGCTGAAGTCGTCGATCCGAACTGATCCCGAGCACATCGAGAAGTCCCCAGAGCCTTTCACGATGTCCCCGGACGTCCGACACGGCCGCCCGAACAGGAACCACCTGTTCAAGCCTCCGTCCAAAGCCCCCGACGACCGGATGAGTTCGCCATGGCACAGCTTCCAGGAAGAGTTCCTCCAGCTTCAGGTTGGTCTCCGCCGCCGCGCGCCGGGCATCCTCCATGACCATGTCCGCCTGGTGATGCTTCGCCGCAGATCGTGGACGTGTGCATCGGAACAGTCACAGTCCAAGAGTGCTAAAGTGACCTAAAGCCCCAAGAGAGGCGCCACCGAGGTTGGTCGAATACACTTACCCCCTGCCCGCTACAAAAACTCAGCAGTAAAACTCAGCAAAACCGGTGCTTTCAATACAATATGGTTTAAGAATCAAGGAACTGGAAACAAATGTCCGATAGAGTGTGTGACTTTCCAGCAAGATCCAAAATTTGGACACAACATCATCAGCAAGCGACCAAGCTCGAGTATCACTTCCCGGGCTCGACCTACAGCTGGGCAAGCGACCTACAGCTGAATAATTAATTGTGTCCAGGATCCACCGCAATTGCATCCCTACAGGTCAAAGACCTCATCGAGTTTAATTGTGCTGGAGTTGGTCATGTAGTCATACAGAAAACGCTACTGAATAAGGTCCAGGACTAGGTAGTTCTACTGGGCCTTTAGACCTGTAGGGTCTGATTCAGTGAGCTGAGCATTCAGCCGAGCAGCATCGTTCGCAGCACTTGCAAGAGTTTCTTTGATGAACCTTTCTGGAGCTGAGAAGAATGAACAAATTGTTTCTGCGGCCAAACAAAGTAACATGAACACATGAAACCGAAAGAAAACAAACCCTGGACTTCGGATGAGCTGGAAGTCATGGACATGGCATTTAAATCGATCAAATCTATGTACGAATAGATCAACCATGGAAGAACAAAACAGAAAGGCTGCAGTTGGCTGTCTGAGGAACAGTGCAGTAACCACTCGAATGACTGCAAAAACCACCAGCGTGAGGTACGTCAGGAAGAAGGCTGCCTCAGTGACTTGGCGTAGAAACAGCGTATAACAGCGTTTACCTTCCAGTCGACTGACTTGTTTTAAAGTGGGTGAGGTGTGTTAACTGTTAATTGGTCCTTGTCATGTTGTTTCTTTTGTTGTTTCTTTATTTTATCTAGCCGTGTCGTTAACCCTCCTTTTTACGTGTTCTGTCCAAATAAACTCTGATGCTTGTCCTCTTGTTGTTGCTGGCTGGTAGCTGTTTCTGGCTGCTGCACTGGTAAATCATCTTAAATCCTTTTGAGTTCTCGCTTCGCTATTCATTCCCTCACACCTGCTGCCCATCCACCAAGCAGGAGCCCATCCACCAGTCTGGTGAAACTCCCAGAGTGGTGAGCACAGGTTTTCAGTTTGGGGCGATACAACACCGTTGGAGGAAGGTGGAGCATTGGATGGAAACATGCACATCATTACATCATATTACATCAAATTCACCCAACAAAACCGAACGACATGCACCATCATGCACCTGGAAAACACAAATCACATGCCACTTAAGTTGGACGTGCCACTCAAGTCCAACTGATGCTAAATGACCCCTACTACTGAACATCCGCTTGCGAAAAAACATGAGGGGATCGTGCTCTCGAGGTTCCAAGTCCTTGAGGTTGATATGTTGGGGGTTGATAAGCATGATACTAAATAAAGGGCTGACAAGCCACAAATAAACAGGTCTTCAGGTCCTTCACCTAGTCAGGTGCCATGGTCCACTCACGACCACCTATCCAGAAAGCTTGCAACGAGAACCGGTTCAAAGGATTTGCCATGTTGCATGCTTGATCACTCAGCTTACTCAGCTCATTCATCCCACTATGACCATGGTTTTGGGAACCCCCCCCAGCAAGTTCCCCGGAGAAAACATTGCGAGTTGTTCTGCAAACCCCCGCTTGGCCCTTTCCTGTAGCTTCATCCTCAAACACTCCCAACCACCCCTACAGCATTTTTAACAATTTTTGCAGCTGGAGGCTGCCAGATCCCACCGCCACCGGCGTCTGCCTAGACCCACGACCGGGCCACGTACCAAGGGCTCACCTTTTCGATGACCGGTCTCACCACGGCCGGCCAGCTTCCGCTGTGGGTCACTTCCTCAGGCTTCCGCCGGGTTCACGGCTTCAGACGGAGGAAGACGGGGGGGAGGGGAGTAGATGATGGGATGTTGATGTGATTTTTGTGGTTGACTATGTCCACTTCTCATGTTTGGCTCTCTAATCTTAAGACATTTCTTTTGATTGGACAAGCCTGTATCTTTAAAGGCTAGTAGAGTCTTCCACAAGTTATCCGTGATTATCCAGGTCAAGTGGTCTAAGACCTGCTTCGAGCAAAGACAGGTGAAATAGTATCCAAGCGTTTTGTAGAGGAGTACTGGCCAACCTAGTGGCTATAACCTCTGCAGTCATCAATGCACAAGGGAGCACCGACTTGTGCCAAATTCTTCGACATAGGAAACACCTGACCATCCTGACAAAGAAATGACACTCGATGTGTTTTCTTCCATTTCACTGCGCCAAAAGTCCTGCTTCCGACACTCCAAACATGAAACTCCACGCACACCTGCCAGATGCACTCCCCACCCCTCCACTCCCCCAAACGATTCCAGGGACCCCCGAGAATTCACGCCATGGAAGACCTTTTTCCGAAGACCGAAATCGGCCGGTAGGGTTTCGGGGGTCCATGTGGGTGTGCAGGAGGGTTCATCTCTAGCTGAACCGCTCCAAGAGTATGTCTTTTCAGGCTAAACCGAGAAAAGCACAGACATACATAGATACATAGACCATCGCGTGGCACTCCGCCCAAAGTCCTGCGCAGGAGAAAAAACACAAAAAAAAAACATCTAGTCTGCTGTTCCGAGCTTCAAACATGGTGTAGAGCGCTTTGAGAAAGCTTCCGTATAAGTTGTTCATCTCTAATCCTTAGCTGGCACGCCAAAGCAAAACACACATTTCTGCGGTCCCAGAAATCCAACAGCACTAACGTAACAATGGACCCCGTTTAAGTGAAACACCCATCCTGGGTATCCCAGGAACACGTATTGGGATGTTTTTGGGTCACATGTGAGTTGCCATCATTTGAACCATCGCTGGTCGTGTTCCATCTCATCTTCGATCCACAGGATCCACTCTATCCGCGACCAGTTCCGGGGCAGGTCGCAGCCTGGCTCTTCGGTGGCGCCCGCTTTCCACGCGTCGTACCCCTCGTCATCCCAAGGCTCGAGCATCCCGATCGGCCTTGGAGCGGTCGTGCCGGGTCCTTTCTTCCTTTTGAGTGAAGACGGAGCCAAAAGGTTCGAAACTGCGGTGAAGTGGATCTTAGAATTCCCTGGATGACTGTAGTCATACCATGCAGTCATCATACGAGTCTCATGGGATGGTGGATGGACTACAGGCCAAGGCTGGGTGCTGACCTCTGTGATTGCAAGCTAGGAGCAGGAGACACTAGTGGCTTCGAGCTTTTATACCAATCAAATGCCATCAAATTTCATCAAATACCCAAAAATCGCATCAATTACAACGGCAATATGTCTCCTGCACCCGCTCACCCTAGGACTCAATTATTTGGATGACACTCTCAGAGTATCAACTTGAGAGGAGGGAGACACGAAAGGTAGGACAGCGGGAAGAGAAGAGAACGCGAGAGGCAGGAACAAAAATGCAATGTTCGACATGGTGATTTATCCCCTCGGAGGCGACCTTTCGTAAATATATGTTCATATGCACTTTAAATGTTCAAACATGTGCTCTCGAAATGTTCAAAAAGATTCTTAGGAAAACAAACTTGCCCCATGGCTCAGATCATCGGTGAGCATTGAATCGGAACATCATAGGATTTGAACTATCCTGAAACCATAAGAAGCTCACGAAGACGCTCCCCAGGAGAGAATTGACGTGCTTCACAAAACAAACTCTAGGTATGTATCCCCTCGGGGAACACCTTTCGTGATTAGAATTTCATATTCACTCTTTCTGAATGTTCAAGAGGGTTTCAACTATCCTGAAATCATGAGAGGCTCACGAAGACGATCTCCAGGAGAGAATTGATTTTAGAGGGGG